GCTGCAGCTGAAAACAACACTTTTTATACTGATTCTTTTCGTTTTCCTTCCTATTATTCAAAGCTATGATATGTTTACTGTTTTCGTTCTCTAAACCAGTTCCAAAGTAAGGATTAGTTTTTCCTTACATCGGTAAACCAGTTGATTTAAACCCGTACCACACATTTTAAACTCTATTATCTCTTTGTCGTCTCGACGACCTGATGTCGTCTCTCAATTTCCACACTTCATTCTTGTTATCTTGTTCTTCTGTTTTTACGTCATCCTTTTCCGGGAAAGTCACTTTTTTATCGACCTTGACAGCAAATGGACTTCCCTTCACGTGATTTCCCTTCCATGTGACAGCCACGTGGTATTCTCCTACTTCTTTTGGGTAATAGCACACGCTGTGAATATTTTCTCCTAAACATTCGTATTCGACAGGTATTGGCTCTGGGAAGTGAGTAGAAGTTTCACAACCATTATTCACGATTCGGCTAATTTGGAGCTCTAAATAAAGCAGGTCCGGACCCGTAGTTCGTAGAATGAACTTTGCTGGTTCTCCAACCATTGCTAAGGATAAGCCGTCTCCACTGACCGAACATTGCGTGGAATCGTGTTTCTCTCTGCTGCTACGATTGGTACTAAAGCACTGCTAGGAAGGAATACATATATTTCATTATCATACAAGATAATTGCTGGTTATTATGGCAATAAACCGCACTTCCTATCGGTTTATCAGCGTAATAGCTTACTTGAGATATTGATAAAATACACGGAAAGTTTGCAAATCACGAGCCGGAGGCGACTGATTTACAAACTTTTCTCGTATTCTCCCTACATCCCGCGTGGGTTCTTATGCTGGTAAACCAGTGTTTAGTGCAATCAATTGCTTATTTAAACCAACTATGGGTTTACAGGTGCCACAGACCATAGGTTTTTGACCAATTAGGGCTCCCGTAGTATCTCAGTTATCTCATAATCTTCACTACCACCTCTTTCGGTAAAGATCAATCATGTCACGATTCTTTCACTACGGAGTTTCTTTACCAGTATGCAGTATCCTAAAGACCTAAGAATGGATGTTAGGAATTGATAGTGATGAAAACATTCAAAGCGAAAAAAATTTCGTGTAATTCTTACAACTAGATAAAACTTCCCTAAGATAAAGGCTTTGCCATCGTCGATTTTCCATTAAGAAACGTCTTTGTAGTTTTTCTTTTTAATCAAATTTCTGTCTGCTGACCCTTCAACACTCGCTGAAATCTGTTTGTATTTTTATTCCTTCTTATTCTTTTGATTTAAATGACTTTCCTTAACTTGGGGTCTATTTAGTCTACACGGAGTTTTTATTAAATAAAAAAAATCTTATCTGCGACTGCTTAGCCATAAACTGAACAAAGGGACTAAGGAAAAAATTGTGCGTTGGAAGGCAACCTTTTCGTAAGCAACAGTACTGCACTCTTTTGAGCGTCATCCCCAGGGCATTTATTGACGACTGAGAGTGATTATTCATTAATAAAAGGTCCACTTATCCGTATGAGACCTTAAGCTACAAGAGAAACCTCGTCGCCTCATTTACTGAAGCATATGCTATGTTGGAGAATACTCCACAAACTTGATGTACGTATTTCCTTCACCCAAGTTCGAGAACTTTTTCCCATTAGGCGTACAGTACGAAATTACATAATAGATTTTTAACCCCTATGTGAAAACCGCAATTTCATCTTTTCGTTTTTTCACTCTCCTTTCATCCTGTCAATTTGCCGAAGAATTCATTTTAATTTTTTTTGACAACACCCTCTGTCTATGAATTTATGAGTAATCGATAGATTACCGAGTTTCCGTACTCTCTAGTAAATACATATAACATAACCGGAGCTATGAAAGCTTTAAAATATATTTCAACGAGATGCTGGTCCCAATTTGATGCTGTTCTTGATGTTGTCAATGCCGATAGAATAAACAACTATTTAGCCTCACAAATCCTATAAAGTCCTTACTGAAATAAACAGTCCGCCTTTGAATTGCAGTCCAGTTTTAGAGGAAAAAATTCCCAATTACAAACAAATAAGGTCGAGTTACAATTTGAAATATAAACTGGCCGACTGAAAAGTCATTCTATCAGTACATTTAATTTCAGCCAATCGGTCACAACATAATTTCATCTTACTGAGCGTGAATGTCATCATTCGCATATTGCGTGGCTTGGCACGACACTATGGAAGTTCTTTCTTACTCTCCTGAATCAAAACTACCGTTTTCACTTGAATTGTACGCTGCAATAGTACAGTCTTCAATAATAGAAGGAATGTTTTGACTCACCACCGGCATAAATTTGCAAGCGAAAGCCATCAGTAAGTGAAAAGACGCCAATGCTAGAAATTTATGTTCCTTGTTAGTCTCTATTGATTGTCTGGTAAAAACTGACTTTGACAGCTCCCGAGGAAAATTTTAATCCTTAGGAAAACACCTTGACACATTATGTATATACATTGCGGCCTGTGAAACGTTCCGAACCAACAGCAATTTAAAACTGTCAAATTAAAATTGATAAGTGAATCAAATATGTGAAGCCGATTTGGAAACGCTTCCGGAACTGAAATGAAAATGTATTCGAGCGAAATTTTTTCAGCGGGAGGGGAAATATCTGACCTTCATTTTCTAGATGGATACAGACCATGGCATAATAACGTAACAATAAATAATAATAACGTAAGTAAAATTTTTTGAATCAACCATAATTTTACTTCTTTTGAAGATTTATTAGAAAGCGCTTACATTCTTGTGTGTCTTGCTATTGGTTAAGGTAAAGGCTGCAAACATCTGTTTTCTAAAAGCTTTATTGTAAGTGCTGATTACACAAGCCCTTCGGGAATTGGTTTGTAGATATAGGCGTAAGTTGAATATTATATCAAATCGAGGGCAACAACGTGGTTACTTTGATTTTCTACAAGTAATTCAACGCAACGTTGATCGAAAGAGGAGTAAAGATCAACGTTGCCGAATCGAAGGAAAAAAAACGAAACACACCAAAGCAAATGTGAACTGAATTAGTAAATTTAATTCAAACATATCAAATTTTGCCTGAGGCTATCAAATTGGCGGTTTTATTCATACGCACTAGAAAATCTTCCCTTCTCGAAGGTTCGAAAACTGTATCGTCGGTTTAAAATAAGATTATAATTGTTCAGAACCTCAAGAAAAAGATAAAACATGACAGAACAACAGTAAAACAGTAAATAAGAACCCGCTGTGGCGAATAATAAACCAGTGCAAAGCCAACGCCTGATATCTGCTTAGAATTATTCATGATCTAAGATAAAATTAAGGCAGATCCTTGAACCAAAGTATTGAGTCCAATTGCGAGGTGATAAAATGTGCCAAAGTTAGGAGAATAGACACCAGGAAATCTGATATTAAAAAAATTAAGAATAAACCAAACAAAACCCATTCGAAAAATGAGTCAAAGTCATTTACTTCCAACCAATCAAATCTCGATGACGTGCGGTATTATCGTATGCAATGACCAAGCCAAGGTGATTCTTTCAGCCCAAAGACAAAACAAACATAAAAACGTTTAAAAAACGGAACCTTTTTTTTGTTACTCGAGGGAAATGAATTTTATTAACTGACAGCAGTTTCAATACAGGTGGCAATACTCCTAGAACTCGTTCTTTCATAGTGATACTCAGGATAATCTTAAAAGTTAACACTGTAATGTTCTTAAGGCAGAGGGTTAAATATCGCACCCAGTGCCCATCTCTCTTTTTCTTTTACTTTAGCAGCCATTTAATTTGGAGCTTTTTTTAGGCTTAAAAACCTGACCGTGAGAACCACAGAACCTCCTGAGACGGGAGTTTTTTTGAAGTCGATCTTGCTACACAGAAACCAACCTCTTGAGAGGACAAAAACTTTCTTCGATTATGTCATAATACTAAGTTCGATTTTATTTTTTCACTAACGTCGCTTTTTCGCAACTCTAACGAATTTTGTAGCCGGCGGCCAAGAAGGCGTAGTATTTCTGGTTACTCTTTGAGTCTGATCTCACGAACCTTATTTAAGAAGCGTTTTTTATATCTTACCAACGTCTCCAACTCATTTGTAAATTTTATTGACCGTTCATTATTGTGGTTAAACTCCATACCTGACATTTATCTATGTAAATCGTTAAATCTTTCGATTCAGTGCCCAAACTAATATATAGGGAGTGTGTATTGTTTACTTATGCAAATATCTTCAGCGATCTATCCTCCTCTCGTATAAGTTCTCTCTCGATGTAATACCAAAAGAGAATTTGATTCACGGTTAGAAACAGATAGAGTGAGTTTCGCTTATTGAAGAATGTGGTTATTGCCACTCTAGTGTTACAATGCTACCATCACTATCTCAACATGACAGTTTCTTTGAAAAATATATAAAAACATTTATAGAAAGCCATCTGATGAACAGATTTTTGTTTGGCCTTCTTTTGGCGATTACATCCGCCAACTTGTTCATGTACAGAAAACTGTTAGGAAACAAAATGGGTGCATTGTATATGTATCGTACCTGATTTTTCCTCCTACTGACACATTCTTATTGCACTAAGTTAATACCAATATTTCATATCCACTTTTTACACAAGGCGTTCGCCAAATATGGGTTATCACTTTGCCTTATGTTTGCTTTCCCCTCTTCATTCATAGGATTGTTTTCGGTCCTCTCATTAAAGATGATAAACGACTCTTCAAAAATAAAACCTATTGAACTTCATTCGCGGAGCCTTGAGCTTTGAGATGTCTTGAAAGGGTTGACTTTAGAGTGAAGACCTAGAGTCTGTCAGTACCTTAATTTGATCCTATTTTGTTATCAGTTTATCCCATCAGCAGCACTGCAACATTTTACATTTTACATAAAATATACTAGGAGTGATTTGGTAAGAAAAGCCGGATCCAATTTCCACGGTCAAACTTCTATGCAGCATATAAAATAACATACAAAATTAAACGCAAATTTTATTCGACATTATAGCACGCATTTAAATGATAATCTTTTTTGGTATTGATATAAATCTCTATATTACGATTAGTGTTACAAACTATGTTTTGTAACAGTGATACAGCAAATATTGTCGGCTCTGTTAAGTATAAAATAAATTACGCACGGGCAAACTGAAAAACCTCAACCTCAAGAGTCGTTACTGAATGAATTGCCCGTTTGTCATATTTGGATTTCCTTACATTTTGCAATCGAAACAACAAGCAAAAGTACATTTGTCAACTTTAGAGCAATATCAACTTTTACAGGAAACTTAATGTGCTACACACTTCAGACTCCATAGCAATCTCGTTGCACAAAGTGTATTTTGTAATTAGTAGTCTAAAATGCAAATTTATCAAATGAGTATCGAAAGTGATCAGACGTTGCTTTGTTTTTGCTTTACTTCGTTCTGTGATTGGTCTAGAAAACTGGCGCCACTCTCTCAACCAATCAGATGCGAAATTAAAACAAACACGAGTTGATCGCGGGCGTTTCCCGCGCCTTAAGCAATTTGCTTGTTTTACTTGTAGTTCTCATTGAGGGGGGGTTCTTTCCTACATGAGCTTTCTAGGGATGTGCTGCCGTCAATAGTGTGAGAAATTAACAAGACCTACGTTTCAGGCAAAATTTTCTTGACTTCGACAGATCTGAAACCGGTGATTGATTCTAGTGGCCGGGTCTGAAAACAAGTGTTGAAATGGCATCTCTGATTCCGAAGAGGGGTTAGAATGTAGAGAATCGGTGTCCTCATGGAAAATGGTCGGGACTGCCATGAGCGCGACACTTGTTTGAAAGTAGGAACCAAGAACCTGTTAATTTTCCACAAGTCCTTCCTCAAAGAACTGGTCGAACCCTTGACTTACGGCGCCTGCGAATCGAAGTTCCCAGGAAAATTGGGCATTGTTGTGCTTTTGACTTCATAGACTGATTGCCATTTATTTCAAAGCATCACCAGACATGACACTTGTTCATCGGATTCATAGAACTATTGACGGGACAATTAAAAGCCTCTGCAAACTCCTTTGAGTTGGAAACTGCCGCGAGAACCCTACAAAGTATGGTCACAATGGTTAGATTATTCTCAATATTTATTGCAATCAACTGCATGTATAACTGTTACATAAGCAAAGAGGGATGGAAGCATAAATAGATTAATAGGGTCATTCCAGTGGTAGGCCTTCCACCTGATTCTCTTTTAATCACACGTTATTAATATCTCGTCTCTTACTCGCTGGAAGATTCTCATGTAAACCATAGCATCAAAAAGACCCCGATATCATGCTCCTATTAAGTGATAATCAATACAAAAGTCTTAATTCAAGCATTGCTGTTTCGTTAAGGGATTTCATTAATTCTCTTAGGTAAAAAACTTATTGCCGTGGACACCCATTTGCTTTTAAACTCACCTCACTTTCTCAGGACTGTGTACATCAGTTAGCAAAGCATGCTGGGCACGCCCGTCAGAAGTTGCTGAACACCATACCTGGCCGGAATGAAGATTTAAAACGGAAAGTTTATATAAACATTCATATGTGTGAAGCACATCTGAGATTTTGACATACAGTCGATTCTGTATGAAGCATAGGGTGATCGCTTTTACTGAATAAATCATAGAAATGGCTTTCATAAATCTCAAAATTTGGAGTTGTTCAACTCATTATAACCGTTATGTCATTATGACAATTATCATTTTGGTTAGTGCTTGAAGTTTGTCCGCCGTGACATCGTCACTTATGGCCAAGCCCGAAATTTGCGAAGTTTACTTCAACATCAGTGAAAATATTACTTCCAAAGCTCGATAACTAGAGGTTGTGATGTGACCGAAAATCTGCAATATTGAGACTTCTACTCCGTTAATCAATTTAAAAGTAAGTCTTCATAAATAACAAGTTCTGATATGAGGACGTACCGAAAGTTAGCCTTTAATTAAAAAAGGAGGTAAATTTCTAGAGAGACTGTGGTGCTGTGTCGGTGGGAGAGTATAACAAGGTAAATTGGTATTATCAACTGAGTTGCTAATGTAAATTGGCTAAGGTTGGCCCTTCGTTAGCCTTTCGTCATTCGCTCTGACGAAGGGCTAACGTTAGAAACGCCACCTTTGAAACTCATAACGGTGGCCAATTTATGTAATACACAGATAATCACTTTTGATTTACCTGAGCAAATCCGAGGAAAAACAATTGCTCCGAAGTGAAATCCAAGCCAGGTAGGTTCAATTCTTTGCTGTTTCTCGCGACCCAGTTCTGGTAGGCCTACAGGTGAGGTAACAAGAATATTCCGGCAAAAGAAGCTTTTGCATTTACGTATGAACCCCAACCCAATCCTTGCATAGAGGAAAAAGCAGATGAAGTAAAACCGAGCGAAGTGGCCCCAAATCAGCCCAGAAAACTCACATGATGCAAAGGAATAGCCATTTTAGGCGAGGTAAGTTTGTTTTTATTCAGAACTAGTTCAGATTTGTAGGTTGAGAGAGCGACCGTTTATTTCCATACAAATCCTTGTATTTCGTCCACTGTGCAACATAAACACTTCTTTGCATATTTACGGAGGCTCTTTGTGCAAGCTTAGGCTACACTACCCTAACTACCCTACCTGCAAGACCTCGTTTGAATCATTGTTTGTGGCTTTTAGAATTGAAAGACAATTCGACATCAAAATTTAAATCAGTCAAGGTTCGAAGCATCATATGGAACCTAGCTCGACTTTGAACATTTTCCGGATAAACTCTCCAGTGTTTGACCAAGCAACATTATTGATGAAATAACGCTCAGACGTAACCTGCTGCACTTTAACTAACATCAAAGAAAATAAAAAGAAATAAACTTACAGTGTAGGCAAGCTTCAGCCCTCCGTTGTCTGCTATATTCTCGCCTAGTGTTTGTTTCCCATTCACCTGCAGTAAGTTAAAAGGATAAGGTCATAAATTAGATTTTAAGGTGCAACATACAAGTATCTATTAAAATGTTCATACACTTTCCTACATAACAGAGAAAAATTTTGGAAAAAAAATGACAGTCTTACGTTCTTTCCAGCAACAGTGAAGTTGCCATACTGATTCACCATACATGAGGCGTGTTCTTGAAAGGCTTTCACTGATTGGTTGTTCCACCAGCTGGCCAGGTTACCATGTTCATCGAACATTCGACCTGCGATATGATTAAATCGAGAGACAATCGAACTAACGTTACGTACTTAAAAAAAAAAAGAGTGATGGTAAATTTGCATTATCAGCTATTTATCGTTGAAAGTTACCATGTTGTCATCACGAAATTATTGTCCTCTCTTCGCTGTTTTGCGCGGGAATATTAGCAAAAATCTTTACCCTAAACCATCGGAGAAAAATAACTACGCTCTTACAGCACTGCTGATTTTCATCGACCCACAAAAGCTATGTAACATGAATTCTATTACTATCTAATCATCGTTTTGGAGGGCACTGAGAAAACGAGAACTGAAAAAGTGACTAAAAAACAGTCTGAAAAATCGCGTCAGGATGCGAGCGGGCTACGATTCACTTTGTATTTTAGACCTTTGTAGATCTTTGAGTCTTCGTTTAAGTGTGTTATTGAATGTGTCCTTATAACTGGTTTGGTTATCGTTACAAACTTACCACGATCGTCAAATCCATGAGTCAGCTCATGTCCCATTACTACTCCGACTGCGCCATAATTTATTGACCTACACCGGAATAAAGAATGTTGGCTGTTAACACTTTCTGATTATACCCCACCAATCAATGTATAAAACAACTTCCTTGAAATAGGAAAGAATTAGTGGAACTAAAAGTTACCCCCATGGTCAAAGGGGTTGAAATTGATTCAGAACACGAGAACGGGCTGGTTAAAAATTCAGTGAGAAATTTTATATTTAACTTTTTAAAGAAAAACAAATCAGGAAATAATTTCCAGTGGTGACCACCCAATTTTAAATTCATTTTCGCTCCTTCGCTTTGGTCTACGGCAGAGATCATACGAGGAGATGAATGCAAATGGCGTAAGACATGCAAAGGGCCTCGAATGCGAGCTAAAGGAAAGGTTATCTGACAATTATCCTATTTCGTTTAAAAGTCAAAATGTTGTGTTATAAGATCTACATAACTTACTGCGGAAATTGCGGATCAAAGAAAGGAGGTTGAAGAATTCCTGACGGGAATGCTGTTAAGGAAAATTACATGACCAGTAATTAACGACCAAATTATAAAAACATTTGCTAAAACGAGGGAAACGTTATAAGGCAAAGAGTAAATTTTAAGATTTCTAACCTATGTAATTGTTTGGCGAGTTATAGTAGGCGTTGACGTCAGCAGGAGTCATATGCCATCTGACAAAAACAAAAACGTGTACACCCATAATATTACAAATTAGTATTCTATCAAAAATGTTACAAGCTGATGGGCACGCTACTCACTATCTGTTCCGTGATACTTTGGTTTCACTTTTTCGACACTGCTAAAAACCGCTCTCGCGATGATATGAAAGTTGGAACAATAAAAATATTTGTACTAACTCTCGTCTGTCGACAGGCTTTCCTCGTCTGTTCATTGACTTGTTGTGGAAAAATCTTCTGGCTTCTAAGTAATTCTCGAAGCTTTTTTCGGGACCTATTGTGAGCTGACAAAAACGACACATTTAAAAATTTTTGTCAAAAGTTGAGTTGATCAGCAGTTATTATGATCGATTCCCATCTCAAATGCAGCCAAACCTATTATCCCTCAATCACGCAAGCTTCCTTTTATACGCTTTCAATATCAAAACTTACATTTTCGTAGTATTCGTCGAGTTTTTCTGGATCCTCTATCCACTTTGGGTAGCCAATCATGTCGAAAGTAGCCGTAATCTGAAAAAGAAGTAAACACAGTATCACTGGAAAGCTTTTCGACTAAGTGTAATAAAACAAATATCAAAATACAAGTTGCGAGTTTTCTTGACCGATTACAGAACAAATTAAAGCAAAACCAACACAATTTGGGATTACTTCGGACACTCCATTACAATGTTGCTCCATATCATCATCCAGGATAGGCAACTCGTAGGAAAATGACGCGTATGGATTGTGTATCTGATTCTTCGAGACAATCTGTTAAGCGAGTGTTTTAATAATTTATTCGATAAAACGTTTATCAGAGGTTTTCGCGCTTCATTCATTTTTAGGCAACAACTTTTTTTAAAGCTTTTTAAACACGTGAATACAAATTAAAGTTTAGGGAATAAAAATCAACTGAAATTAATATTCCTCGAACATTAAACTCGTAGTCTCTTGAACTCTGTCATGTCCAACTTTACCTTATTTAAAGCCTTCTCTCTCGTTTCTTCGTCCATCCACCTCACATGGGGTAAATTTGCTTTAAAAGCTCCCTTGATCTCAGCTATCATTTCCTCCGCCTATTTAAGACAAAACGAGGAAATAAAAAATTCCGTCGTATCTGCATCTTACTGCTAAGAATTTCTATAACTGTTTAAAACGATGCACACTGTTCACGATACCCCGTCTTCGACTTGAGCTATCCCCTTTTGATTGAGTGTTCCGGAAAAAAACCCGAGATAATCACAAGAGCCATGTCAAGCAAGGGAAAAAAATAACAATAAGCCCATGATAGCTCAGTAACAACAAGCAAATGAGTTAAGCGCTGTTGAAGCATGGAAAACGCGAATGACCAATTTAAGTTGCAGTTGCTTTTAGTTTTACATCTGACTGCTCGTCCGTGAGGGTGGCACGCGTTTTCTAGACCAGTCATAAAGCGAAGAAGACTAGAATCAATGCAATCGCGAGTTAGTTTTGATACCAAATTGAGAATTGCTCTACGTTCTAAATGGGTAAAAATGGCAGAGGATGGGAAGAAAAAAACTTTGTTAGTAAGCACGAAATTTTTCCGACGTTGCACAGACGAATCTAAATGTTAAGAAATTAAATCTATTCTCTACCTGTTTTTTAGCATTTTTTCCTGATCTTTCCTTAATGTACAAGTATCCTGTGGCAAACCCCATGACCGAGTTAGTCTTAGTAACACAGCTCTTCCAGGGCGGAGCCCCAGTCTCCACTCCTTTCTCAACTTTTAACAATTCCAGCGAAGCATCACGGAACGGTTTGGACAATTCCCCGATCAGGGGCTTGATGAGATGCCAAACCATGTAATTTGCTAAGATCCTGTGAATTTAACGCACATAGGAGATTTATATATAATTTCGTGTGACAAGATCAACAATAGAGTGCAGAGTAGCTTTCTCGGCAAGCCCTTTCCCCGCTTTGGTTGACATAGACTAGATGCAATTTTTGTTCTGGTATTTACCATCATTACCTTCGATCTGTTCTGATGACAAGATTCGACATATTTTTCAAGTATTCTGGAGTATAAACCACCACATGCTCCTGATGCGTGACCGGGCTGCTAAACATCGCATTCATGTAATCCAACCAAGAAATCTGAAGATCATGGAAAAAAATAACATAACTTTTTTTTTAACTATCTATTTTATCTGTTGTTTCTATAAAGATAAGCTGTATACTGTTTAAAAATCGCGATCCGCGCCGGCAGTAACTTCGCTGACGACGGAATCACAGGTGGGGTTGTAAGAGCTCATCAGGAACTCTTAAATCAGATTTAGCAACTGAGCCATATGACCACTAACGGGATTGAAATTGACAAGACGTGTAAATCTCCTCTCTTTGCTTCCCATTTTCCCTATAACTGCGTTGCTGATCATCAAATTCAAATTCAAAGTTTTAGACAAGAAGGAAGCAGAAAAAGGAACTAAACCAATCCCTATACCGTGCAGTCATACCCTCCCACCTCATCCAAGCACTGTTCTTTGCTTTAATTTATCTCCCTAACGTTATTTTAATCCTTTAATTCCAGGCCAACATCTTATAAGAAATTCTCCCATCCAGCTGATATTTAATCATTAAGGGTTTGTTATTACTCAATGAGATTATAAACTGATCTCTTGGTCACATATAATGCCCACTCGCTGAACTGATTGTCATAAAGTCTGCTAGATATTACATGGATTAAGCAACGATTACTTAAACTTTAATAATTTACGGGAATAAAAAGGTTCACTATTTTGCAGTCGGAGGATCTGAACTTGTTTTCTTACCGCGGGTGCAAGCTGCTGAAGTTCAGCTACCGTCATTTTGTGATAAATTTGTTCCATGTTTCTCAGTCGATCTTTTGGTTCGTAAATCTCGGCCAGTTTCTTTTCAAGCTGAAACACCTCCTCCATCTGATGCCGTGTGCTATTAATTTCACCTCCCAAGAGTGAACCCACCTTAACCATGAAGTCTTTGTACGCCTGCACAACCTACATAATCACCAGGTGGAAACAGGCAATTACTTCTCTAATAATGTACATGAAAAAATTACGCGCTTCTGATTGGCTGAAAAATGAGTGCATTCTCATAGAACACGAGTGCAAAGTTATAACACAAGTGCAAATTACAAATAGCGCGCGCGCACGCTTTCAAAATTCTGTCTGTCTAGACTTTCTGTGATGTTTTTTCATATACATTATTAACAATTAAGTGATAATATGATGTCTCTTCCAATTTGGTGAGATAAGCACTTGTAAAACTTTTCAAAGACTACAAATTGCTCTTGCCCTATGGGCTTAGCCTGCAATTTTTTTTGTCTTTGAAAAATTTACGTGTGCTTATTAACACCAAATTGCACTCGAATTCATGTTATTACCCATACTTATAGGCTAAAAAGCGTACTGACACCAAGTTCATTCAATTTCGTTAGCCCTCTAAACCCTAAGAGTGACTGACTTCAGATTTCTTCTTTAAGTTATCAAAAAATCAAATTTAAGGATCATGAGAATAAAAGAAATTATTACCAATTTAAGAAACTCCTGATTTTTAAACAAATTCCCTTGTCATTATCACAGGAAATGTAAAGAAATCAACGAACACTGAATGTTAGGGTGAAAAGAGTAAATAATAATAATTAGCATTGTTAGCATCAACAGAAAAGTGGGGTAATGAGAAAGACGATCAAATATTTAGCTTACACACGTCGATTCCATTGAGGTTATTTCTAGTTTCAGCTCGCGAAAGGAGTCTGTTTTCACACACGTCCACCTAGTGGAATCTCAAAGTGAAAAACTATTTCTTTTCTCGTGTGAAAAGCGGTTTCATCAACATAATTAATCTCTCTACTGTTCGCTGCATGTTTCATAGGTTTTGTTCCGAATATGAAATCGAAGTCGAGACTCATGTTGACGGCTCGGACAACAGAGTTCTGTACTTGGTATTAACTCTACAGGATAACGAAAATGATATTGTAATAAAATATGCGTTTATTTTTCATCGTGGTGTAAGATAGGAAATGAACTTTGTTCGTTTATCTCACGATAGAGTCACTTTTTGATGTTGATTGCGACGTTTCGACTGCAATACTGCTTGTCTTCATCAGGCGATGAGGTCAAATTGAGTACGTGTCGGTATTTGTAGCACGTTGGTACGCTGCTATTGGTTCGTTTTGATCCTCGTTATTATTCCGGTTGTTAGATGGTGTTCCCTCATAGGTCCTCATAACTCGGGCAACGGATTCTCTTCCTTATTTCCGAATAAATAAGTTTACAATATATTCGACTGCTAAACGTTTGCTCAGATACATTAATTTCCTTGTAGTAAACAATCCGTTTCCTATATCAAAAAAGTAAGTTACATTTACCTTATCTGATTCATTCCTGAAGTAGTAATCTCTGTCTGATAGTGTTATGCCAGCTTGCTGAACCTAAGGAGGCGTAGAAAAAGTTTGAGTTAAAAGTTGACTTCTCCACCCCAACATAATGGAAAAGGTAAGATGTGCTAGAGGAGCTATTCCTGCGACAGAATGTGTATTCTGTGTTTCACTAAGCCAAATAAGTTGTCCTCGTTAAACTTTATTTTCATTGCAATCTTATCACATGTGAGGCAACAGCAGGTAAAACCGTGAGATCTGCACATTTACACCGCAGTCGCGAGAATCCATTTTGGGTCAGTCGAGTCCAAAAGGATTGATTTTCGTAGAGCAATTCGGTTTTCATCAATAACTATCCTACGTGAAATAACTTAATTATTAGCCGAGACCACAGCATGAAAGACATGAAGACGCAAAGTCATTAATGGAAAATCTTGTCTATAGAAGTATAAACGTTCACTATTTCATACCTGTATGATGTTTTGGCTCGAATTCCGGTCATCAGCCGATACAAACATATAAAACAAAGGCATACTCTTCAATCTGTGAATTCTACTTAGGGCTTGTTCGAAATTCCACGACTCTGGTGACCAGGGTCCAACCTCTGAGGCGTTGGTTATCGTCCAGGAACCTACAAAGTGAATAAGTTTCTTGACAGGGTCTGCGCCTCTCTTTTCAAGCACAGATTTATTCATGCAAGCTGCAAAATAATCTTGCACTTTCGTCAAAACCGTAGAACTTCCATTTAAGCTGAGTTGTTTGTTCTCAAGAAGTTTCTTCAGTATTATCAAATTGTTGTCCGAAACCCGATGAAAAGCTGTCCATTTTGAGTGTCCGACCGGAATAAAACTGCTCTTGAACCAGTTTCCGCAAGCAAAGTTGTAAAAGTCGTCACACGGATCAACATTCTTGTCAAGATGATTTAAAATACTGTATGTCGCAGCTACACACCCTGGTGTTTCACAGATTTCCGTTCTGTATCCACTGCCACCGAATACCACGGCCACATTATACTGTTTAAATATTAGTACAAATGCTAAAGAAATGGTAATAATAATAAAGATAATGACCGCAAGTGCCAATGCTCTCTCCAAAGAAGTCCAATAAGCTCGATGTTTTCGCTTCGCTGTGGCGTAGTCTCTCTCGAGCTGAGCCAACCATTCGTCGTCGCTTTCGTCGCTAGCGGTGCTTAAAGATTTTTTAAGTTCTCCAAGATGGTTGTTTGGTTCTCCGTACTCAAACTGACGAAGCTTAGACCATCTTATGTCGGTGGACCAAGTAGAAACCATGTTGTAATCTCTCCTTGCTGAGCAAAGCTAGCTCAGTGCAACTTCGAGTTATAGTAATAATCGACCAATAGCACAAGTCCTAATCGTATATCAGTATTATTCTTTCTCCTCCTGAGTCTTTTTAACAAAATCACAGATTGAAAGATCAATCAAAACTCCTATTGAAAGGCCAATTTTAGTCTGGTTAAAAAATGACGCAACTTATTTTTCTCACGGGAAATCGATTAGATCAGATCAGTCTTATCGCTGACTTTCTGAAGAAATTCCAGACTAATGTTTTTCTCGATAGAGCTTTTTGTTCCTGGATTAGGAAAACTCCGACATTTTCCTTTCATCGTCCCATTCGTCTATCATTGCATTGTCTTCAACGCCATAATGTGATTGGTCGAGATAATCAAGTCTATGGACTTGTTTAGGTGATGCCTTTCATTAGTACCAGCTTCTTGGCAGGTCATCTATTGATAAAGAGATCGTTATGCTTTCATGAATATGACGAACTTTTATTTATCAAAAACCCTCGGTGAAAACTTGCATTACAAATTAGGGAAGACAGGATAGACATATCAAGTAATCTTAAAGGAAAATTAAATTTTATTTTCCAAGCAGTTTTCTAACATTTGGCTACCTTTTGAATAATTTCCGAAAAAGGAGATGATTATGTTTTAAGGTTTGATGCATGTGGATGCTTTTAACTTTCATATAAAAATTTGAATATTTATCGAGGAGATTATGAAAAATTTGCCCTTGTTAGAGAGTCGCCAAAAAACTGTTTTGTCCTAATTATAATGGTAACCTTCTAAATAGATGGGGCGGGTATTTATACAGACGCGGGCCTGAACTGACTAATTTTTTGAAAGATGTGATCACGATGATGACACTAGTCAAAGCTTAAATGTTTGCGGCTTCCTGTCGGCTCGTAAAAGAAAATGCGATATAAATCCGTTTCAGTTAAGAACAAATATTCAACATGTAAGATTCTAACGGCCATATTGCGCGAGCGAGTCACTCTTAAGATGTTAACCCTTAAGCGAGCTGGAGACAAAGATGAGGATATGATTCTTGAGAAATTCAGGCCTCTTTCCCCGCTGCTTTTCCACAATGTTGCTTTTAAACCTATTTTTAAAGTGAGAATACTATCCAGCTGGGATTTTTCACTCACGGGACACCAATGTAGGTTCGGCGTTGACGATGCCGCTGACATTTCTTGTTTGGCGAATAAACGTTACCATAGCGACGTAGTAGAGAAAAACCAAAATGGCGGATGGCTGTTGAACGGCGGAATATGGCAAAGAAAACAGCGTCAGAGAAGGCTGATAAAATAGAAAAACCTGATAAAGGAAGTACTTCTGGCGATAAAGGAGCAGGAGATAAAACGCCGGTGGAAAATGAAGAACAACCCGTCGAACTTGGTAAGTATTCTGATCCGTGATCCTGGTCCAGTTTGGTCAGGAGATAGGTTTTCTTTCGCACATAACGCAGACATAAATCGAAGCTTACTATTGCTTACTGTCATCCGAACTGTTAACCGCTGCTTATAGTTTGTAAGTTGTCATAAGTTTTTAAAAGTTTGTAATGTTGTGCTTGCAGACTGTCTTCTTGTTTTTTCGGTAAACAGAACAGTCTTTGAGGACGCCGGTAAATTATTCCCAGCACTTAGAAATCTGTATGAAAGGTCAGCCGAAATATCGTTGAGGAAATAGCATATATTTCCTTCGCTGTTATGCTTCCGTAACTGCATGTATGGTACCATCAAGGTATCTTTACCCGAATGTCTTATGAATGTCATAATAGACAATGTCTACTTACAATTTTTCCGCGTGATCATATTCCGTATTTCGCTGTCTTTTAACGAGACGTTCGACATTAAAAACAATTTTAACACATGTGAATGACATCTTTGACACTTTCTTTATTGAAAATGGTGCGTTTCATTTTCTGTTTTAAAAGACAATTGACTTTTTCGTGATTAATTTTCTTCGATTGTTGAAAGGCGCTAATCATCTTATTGACTTCATTTCTTGTTCCGTGTCAACTTTGTTGACTAACTCCTCGAAAGGAAGAAAGGTCTTTTTGTTTTACATGGTAAATCGTTGAAGATTTCGGTAGCTAAGGACACGTATTCTGCTGTGGAGTGCAGTTTGATGGCTGTTGAATTTCTTGTGTGAGATCACAATGTTTGCTACGTTACGCTCCGTTACACGAATGAAGCGCGCGCTGAAGAAGGCTGACCGAAGCGGTGGTGGTCGGCTTTCGATTGCCATTGAAATTGAAGAAGAAGAGGAAGATTACTTGAGCACGTTTATGTGGTATGGAGGTAATTATGCATTTCGACAATGAGTGTACATTTCGCGCGTGTAGAAATATGTATATCACGCGAATCGAATGTTTCTGACAGTATCCTATAAGTTAGTCGATATTTGACATCTCTGCATGCAACATGCTTGTAGTTAAGTTTACCCAAAGGATTAAACTGAGACGTAGGTGTATTATGCTGCTGAGGATATTGATGAGGCTCAATTTGTTGACAATATGTGGATTTTGGCAGATGCAATGTATAGTCCTTTCCTTCAATATTTTTCTGTCTACAGTATAAGAACAGGTAAGAATGATAACTTCCCGGCGCATTTTTCAGTTGAGTGTACCCAAAGGATTAAACTGAGACGTAGGTGTATTATGCTGCTGAGGATATTGATGAGGCTCAATTTGTTGACAATATGTGGATTTTGGCAGATGCAATGTATAGTCCTTTCCTTCAATATTTTTCTGTCTACAGTATAAGAACAGGTAAGAATGATAATATGTCTGAGACGTAGGTGTATTATGCTGCTGAGGATATTGATGAGGCTCAGTTTGTTGACAATATGTGATTTTGGCAGATTCAATGTGTATTCCATTCCCTCAATATTTTCTGTCGACAGTGTACGTAAGACCAGGCTAGAGAGATAACTTCCCTGCGCATTTTCCACTTTATTTGTTGAAAATTTAATTTATTTGGTGGTCCAAGTAATTTCAATGACAAGTTTTAAGTTTCAGGAATTAAATTAAAGATGCAAGTTGAAGGGAATTGTTTTCTTACTGAAAAACAGAAAGTTGTCAGATACTTCATATCAAACACTTAATATATGCTGTCAGTGTAGTTTTACAAATTATGATTTCACCTAAGCTCAGAAATTTGAAATAGAAGTGTGAAGGAAAGAGGCAGTCATAGGGACACTATGTATATTTACACATAACATGTTTGATGAACAAAGTAAACAGAACTGTGGTCTGAAATCAAACAGTTGAAATCTGTCTCCATTTCTCATCTTGGTCTGTAAAATGGGCTCTTCGTTATTTAGTCATAAGTTGTTGAAGATAAAACTACATATATAAATATGCAAAACAAGAACAAAACAAGACAAAAAAACTTCAGTTTAGTAGCTGGAGACAGTTTTCCTGTTAACATTGTATTCTAGAATGAATTTCAGGTTGGAATATTTTAAAACTACAGTCATTATTTAGTTGCACTTTCCTAATTGCTATTGGTACATAAAAAAATGCACTTTTATTATCATAGGCACAAAAATAAAACTCTCTTCCCTTTTTTTTTAAATTCCTTCCCAGATGTTTTTAGAATCTAATTAAATTGATCTTTCTTGAATTCTTGGTATTTTTATTACAATTAAGAGATTTTCAAAGTATCTTATCTCTTTACCCAGGAGAATTAGTACAAACCAACAAACTGTTAGGGCCAGAGAGACCTCCATGAAATGCTAAGGGTAAACCTATAATGGAGCAGTTGATGTCTAGGCGGTTAAAAAATCTCACTCTTTGGCAGCTAATCAACAAACAAGATTTGTGTCTTATTCCTATATGTGGATACTAAAGTAAATTATACTATACTGTAGAAGTTTCTGAAACTAGAAAATTCAGTTTTCAGGTATGCACTCGATCCACATCACCTTTAAAAGTTTAGAGGGACTTTTCTGTTAGATGTTGAGAATTTTTCAGTCCTCATGAAAAAGAAAAAGAAATAAAAATGATATTTGTCTAACTTATCGTTTTATGGCAGGTAATTTAGTGTTAATAACTGATCATGAGTTGAAAACGTAAATTAGCCACCATAAAGGATAAAAAAGCTGATGTTTCGAGTGTTAGCCCTTCATCAGAGTGGTGGCGAAGGGCTAACACTTGAAACATCAGCTTTTTACTCTTTACAGTGGCTAATTTATGTTTTCAACTCAGTTGTTAACACTAAATTACCTGCTATACTCTCCCGCCGATGCAGCACCACAGTTTCTTTAGAAACTTCCCCCTTTATTCATTTATCTTTTTATGGATTGATGTAAATAAAGTATGATAAGTAAGTTAGTTAAAACTTTTTCTTGGTTCCATATGCAGAAGTGGAGACTATTTCTCATGGACCAAAAGTATTTAAGTCCTATTTTAACAATCTTTTCTTGTGGAAATTCTATCACAGGATTCAAATACCTAGTTAATAGCAGATATCAATTTTTTTTTGCCCTTCATATAAGTTGTTTTGGGATATCTAAATTAATCCTTTGGCCAAACCTTTAACACAAAGAAAATATGTTTTATGTAAATTTGCTATTTTTGTCAAGTTGTAAATAGTCAGAAGACAGATTGAATGGGTAACACCTTTGATTATTGTGTTGGTAATAATGAATATTTAAAAACCTTTTTTGTTGTTTAGTTATAATTGGTCAGCAGACTCCATTTAGATATCATAATTATGGTGCACAGATGCCTGTGCTGTTGTTGTGATTTCATAAAGAATGACAAAAATGAGTCTGTTTAAAGTTATGGTGTTTTTCTAGGAAAAGCTACTGTAATTGAAATGTTTTTAGGCAAGTTATTCTTTCTTTGTTATTCTTTTTGTCATAAGAACAACATTTTGAGTGTATTTAATCCTGAATTTATAATCATTTTATTGTGAATGAGGTTTTCAAATTGACCAATGAGAATTAACAGTTATTGACTGTTTTTTTTGTTTGTTGGTAACAAGAATTTACACTTGTATGCACAAACCCATGTTTGTGACACAGAGTAACATGATGTTTCAAAGAAATGAGAGATTTACTCATAAGGAGGAAAACAGTTCAATGAAGAAATCTGCATGCAATATCAATATAACTTACAACTGTTTTTGATGGAGGTCATAGCAGAAGTTCCTGACCAAGAATGCTCTATCTCATCAGAAAATGGTGATTTTTGTTTTATACAAATTTGCTTGTTGATTGAAATAATTATACAGTTTTACATGACAATCTTGGTCTTTGCATGCAAACAATTACTCAAGTATATCTTTTTTCCAGCTAATATAAATCAAGAAAATTAATTACTGATAAGTGAAAAACGTTGTTTACTGTTGGTTTAGTTGAATGGCTTAACATTTGATCCTTAAACCAACAGCTTGATATTTATTCTAATAGTTATTGAAATTATATTGTGTTAGCCATGAATGTTGTACAGAAAATCAATTATGTGGGTCTTAACAATAATACTCTTGCTAGTAATTAAAAGTTGTGAATTTCAAGTTATAGCTGGCACTACTGCACTGTTTTTGTTTCCCTGAGTGATCATACCTGGTGATTGGCTAAAAGATGTCCCAATACTTACAATTCCAAACTCAGTAGTCAAGTTCTTATGTTGTACAAAAGTTCTGCTTTGTTCATTACTCTAACAGGCAAGTCTGTGAAACTGTCAGTTTTAATTTTGGCTCCCAGGCAAAACAAATTAGTTACCGGTACTGTTTATCCTAGCATTATAAAAAATATACAAAATGTCACAACCAGGTGAATGGAAGTACCTATTCATTAGCTAGGTTATCAAGGAACAAAGACCATTTTATTCTCACAGCTAAATTTGAGTGAGGGATTTTCTTAATAGATGCTTTCATGACATGAGATCGTCAAGGACTAGCACCATAAGAGTTCATGTTACAGGTAGAGTGCTGTTATAGGAACTTTGATAAACAGCTGCATGTGTTGCTCAGTTTTAGTAATGCCATGCAATTCAACTAAACACCCAGCCTTGTGTTATTGATCAGGATTCAGACAATGTCTTGTTACCTGACCTTTGAAATATTTTTTATCACCCTATGTGCATTGTGATAGAGGGTGAAACAACTTCAGTTCAATGCCATACACTTAAGTTGTTAGTACTACCAGTTTAGTAGTAGTCGTGAAATTCTCCAGTAGTGAACAGCCTAATATAAATCTACATATGAATAACCAACAATTTTGCTCAACACTTAACTTGTGTGATTACCCAGTCAGTAATGCCATTTATTTCTCTTTAAATACATTTGTCAGTGTATCAGTACAGGTGAAAGTGGGTTAAAATCATATTCAAGGCTATAAATACCTCTAAAAACCAAGTTTGAGATCTGTACCGAAAGTTATGGACCAAGTTTTTCCTGCTCAAATTCATGGCCAAAGTACAATTATTGTGCAGGCCATAAATCCAAGTAGGAAAAACAATATTTATTACATCTGTTGGTGTAAATAGAGGGAGAATATTTCAAGTTGAACAAGTTTTTGAATTGAACAGGCCTTATAGCAAAATATACCCACTAAATTAACCCCTCACAGCTCACATGCAGGGAGAGATTTACTTAAGATAAACATTAGCTGCATCACTGGCCAAATTTTATTCACTTTTGTTGGTTGAGCTAAATTAATGTAGTGAGGCTAATAAATTACACTTAATGGACTGTTACAATACTTTCTCTATAAGTTGTCTTTTTCTCTTTTTATTTTCTTTAGAGCCTTACACTCCAACAGGGAACTTTGAGGTGGACTTCTGTGAATTATGTTCAAGAGCAGGTTTTCCAACAATGCAAGTTGTGCCACGGCCTCATCGTCCACCAACACCTAATGTCATACCCCAAGACAACACCCCTGTAGGAAAACTGGATAAAAAAGATGGTAAACCCTATTTGACTGTCTATTGGGAAGGGATGATTGGTCAAACCCAGTTTGTTTTAACCCTCTACACCCTAACATAAGTATGCACATTCTTCATACTGTTCTCTACACATATCCTAAGGTGCTGAAGTGAAGAATTTGTTTTAAACTTTATCCCTCAGAGTGAGACTAGTTTTTAATTTCTCCTTATGGCTGAATTAAATGGGAGAATACAGGAAACGATTGCCCACAGATCAAGCTCTTGATTTTTAAATATATTTTCCTTAGCTTATTTGTCAATATCATAAAAATTGTGTAGGAAACTGTATACTTAGAAAACTGTGTGAATACTGATATTGGGGTGAAAAGAGTTTACAATCAAGAGTTGATGATCATTTTGTTTATTTGTGTGACCTTAACATGTGATTCAGAGGTGTTACTGTAAGGAGAAATAAGATGTTAGGCACACTTATGGGTCAAAGGTTTGATTAGTTATTGTTGAAGTAATTTAATTGATATGACCATGGTTATTTTTTACAACAGAAAAGAAAGATGAAAGCAGTAAAACAGAAGAAACAGGGATAGTTGATGGAAATGAAAATGAAGAACCACCAACAACATTTAATGTGAAGGAAAAATACCATTACTTCAAACCCAGAGTGGAGGTTGAAACTGAAGAGGAGGGGAATAAGTCACATATCAAGGAGATTTACATTCGAGGTGATCTATTCCTTGGGATAAATTTTTAATTAAAAGATACAAATCTGTTAAAGGCCAATTCTTCACCCAGATTCCTTCCTTTGACTTTGCTTTATGTGTGAAAGATTTAAACAAAGATCAGATGCAATCATCAATTTAATATATTATATCATGTTGTTTCTTTTATTACAATCTATTTTGTTTTTGTTTATACAGGTTGGAAAATAGATGACAGAATCTTAAATGTTTTGACTGTTACTTTACCACCACTGGAAAAGTTGACCACAATTGAGTGAGTCAATTTTCTAAAATCTTATTGTCTTGTATATCTTTGTGAATTTATGTCTAATGGAAAAGGATGTTTTTAATCACATTGTGAGCAGCTATGTATTAATGGAATCAAAGATATTGTTTACACAAGAAAAGGGTTCAAACCCTAACGTGCAGACACCAACATTGCCATCATTTTATTGTAACAGTTTTAGATGCCAATGTGGCTGACATCATGCCACCTGAAAATGATATACACTGCTTAATTGATGCTTGATTTGTACTTTTAAATAGGTGCTCACTTGTAATACAACATTTGAATGCCCTTTTAGGGCTGAAAATAATAACTATACAAATTTTTATATAGTAGCTTAGTTTTTCATACCTTATTTTTAAAGGAATTTTACTGATTGACAAAATTTTGCCAATTCACCCTATTGAAATGATCTATAAAATGCCCTAGTGCACTTAACATCAGATATAGATTGTTACTCTGTAAATGGCTGCATCATTGTTTTACTGGGTAATATTTTCTTGACTATAGTTTCTGGAACACTGGCCTTCAGGATAATGGTTTGAACACTTTAGCTACTCATATTATCACCCATCTTCCCAGTCTCAGGTACAAATGTCCATGCTTTATAATTTATAATTTATATAATTTATTTACTTCTATAGTCTATAACATTTATGATGATCAAAGGCGCTTTACAATTAGTGTCTCTTCCACCCATCCCACCCCAGGGGAGGACATCCACCACACAGTAATCTCGTGCGTGGGAAATTAACGTCTCCTACCCCAACCCTGCAAGAGACGGGGCCTACGGTTTTACGAAGACGGATACGTGCTTTGAATTCATTAATATCCTTACTAAGTGTACTTTAATTTGTCTGACATAAAAAATCCTATGATGTTAGTTTGGACAATTTGGTATACCTTAATTTATTTATTTTCTTTTTTATTGTCACTTTTCTGCCTGATATTGTCTCAGTAGTAAAAGGGTCAATAAAACAGTTATGTCTTATCAAAGTGTGTTACAAGTGTGTTACAAGTGACACAGTAATGAAGGTATTCGCAATTTCTGCACTCAACATGATATATCATTTTTATTAATTATTTAGCCTTTCTTAACTTTTAAACATACTTCAAAGTTTCAACTTTACTTTCACCTTACTATACTTCAAATTTTAAGTTCTCTTAACTTGAGGGGTTGAGTTTGTGTCAAACAAAACTTTGTCATTAAAGTTCAAAGGCCTGACATGATTTGAATTATTTGATGGTGAGGAATTTGTATACTCAAGGGTTTTGACAAGAACTATATGGTCCTTTCCTTTCTTTAAGAGCTGTTTTCTACTGGTAAAACCTGAAAAAAATAGAACAAGATGGCATTTGTCACAAGTATGAGATAATACTAAAACTCTTTTCTTTCCATACTGATAGAACATTGTGTCTGGACAACAATCCCGTAACACTTCAAAGATATGGAATCTTCCTTGGTGAAGAAAGCACGTAAGTTTGTTAAATCTGTGTCATGGTAATTAACAAGTATTTAGTCTTATAATATTTTTATGGCTACAGTCACAGAAGATGTAGTTAGGATTAAACTAATTTATTTAAGTTAATATTTTTCCTCATGGGTTATGCGCCAATCAATTTTAAGCCTTAACATCCCTCTCCCCCTTGGGGCAACCCACGGGTGTTTGAGTGTAGTCTATGCCCTGGTGGTGGGGAATTTGAACCTTGCCGATTTGAACCTGATGCCTGGGTGGGTGGGAAACTTGAACCAATTGTCAAGTCTTTCTAGCAGAATACATGTGTTTTAATCTTTTAATATAGAGGTTTTGAAAGGAAAAGAGTTCATGTCTGTGAGTGAAATGCTCAGTCATGATCAAGGTTTTAAATCTTGGTGTATAAGTAGAAAGTAATGAGTGCTGATTTTGCCTTCTGCAAAGATAGACCATGAAATCTGGCACTTGGGTTGGGCATTTAAATACAATTTTGGCCCAGAAGGGTGGGAATTTGAACAAACCAATCTTTAAAAGATCAAATGCCTAATTTCTTCTTACAATATTACCCCTCCTGGATCAAACATTAAGGTCACATGAGTAGAGGAAATTATCACATTTACCGGAAAAGTGCTCTTTAGTGCTCCTTGTGGACATTAAGGTGAGCAGTGTGGAGGATTTGCATACTGATGTTAGGGAGTAAAGGGGTTTATTACTGTATGAAACATTTACAGAGTGTCCTAAATAGTGCTGCTAGGCTTATTCACCTTACTAGTAGATATGAGCATGTTACACTGTTGCTTATTCAACTTCATTGGCTACCAATTGAACAAAGAATACCTTTCAAAATTGCAGTAATTTTTACTTTCTACATCTAAATTTAATCTTAAAACTTATGGTGGCCGGTCTTTTACTATTGCCGCACCTTCTGTTTGGAATGCACTTCCATTTGAACTTAGATCTTGTAATTCCCTTTCTTCTTTTAAATCTAAGCTCAAGACGTGGCTTTTTAAAATTGTAGTTTTAAAATTTGTAGTTTTGTAGGTTTAGGATTTTGTTCTTATTTTTATTATGTAAAGCGCTTTTGGACCATTGGGAATTAGTGCTCTATAAATACTGTATATTATTATTATTATATTATGAGCCTAACAAGTAGGAAGCCATTATAGCAGGGGAAGGAAATTTCACATGATCATTCAGTAGCCAGTGGGAGGTGGGGGTGGGTAGGGGTATAGAAAGATCACTTATGCAACAAAGAATTACTTTAAGTTAGCTAAATATTAAAAAGTACTTTTAATTATCAATTTAATACTTAAATCTTTAAGATGGGGAGGGTGAAGGCTGTCAGCATAGGAAAATCATGTAATTTATGGGTTATTGATTTATTTACACTGGTCAACAAACTGCAGCTGTAGATGTAAACTTATCTAGTAATTTAATTACATAGTCATACATGCATGTGTTGTTTGCATGTCATTGAAAATAAGAGTGGAGAAGATAAAGTAAACACACCTAAATGATAGACATCATCTATTTGAACATGAATTGGTAATGGTGTGCTTGAAACTGTTGGCCAAACCTTGATAAACTTTTGGCCAATACTTGGCCCACAGCAAGCCGACTGTCAGCAGACTGTTGGCCAACAGGTTTTTTCAGGGAGTTGTTCCTCACAGTTACCCAATATTTTAAACTGTAAATTTCAGTGCCCAGTACAAATGTTCAATGCAAGACAGTTTACCTATTGACAACTGAATCATTTAATTTTTGGGTATATATCAATTTTATGATCTTATTAAAAAATTTAGAGTACAGAACTTGTCCTTGAGGAACTGTTATGTCAATGATATGGGGGCAAAGATGATTGGGAGAGCATTGACAGCCAACAAGTCACTGACAACCTTGAACTTATGCTATAACAAAATAAGTTGTGAAGGAGCCTCCTGGATAGCAAAGGTAAACAGAGATGACTGTGTCTGGGTTAAGCTATGATTTGTGCCTGAAATTAGGGGCTGTGAAGTTTAGGTTGCAGGTAATCATGCCCTTACAAAATTATTTTGTTGTGTTTTGGGGAAAAAATCTGCTTCCCCCCACCTCAATGATTATCTCCAGGGTGGAATACAAACCAAACTGTAGCAAAATGCTGGAGGGGAGTAACTGGGGTAAACAAGCTTTCCATCCAGGAGGAGTGGGGATTCTGTAAGGAGATTTGTGCTATGGAAACTGGTTTGAATGCAGCTTTGTAAGTCAGTATAGTATTAAGCTGTTATACTTGAAAGGGAGCATATTTGATAGGCAAGTTACCAATGCTTTGATAAAAAGAAAAAGTTGATGGAGTCAGCACACTGGAACAGAATTCAACTGCATGCAAAATTACTATAATTACAATGAAGTCACTATGGTCTAATCAAACATTTTACTTGCTTTATCAGGGATTAAGAATGAACAGAACCCTGCTGTCTCTTAATCTTGGAAGCAATCTTATTGGTGACAATGGAGCCTCTAAATTGGCAGAGGTGGGTATACAGAGAAATCCCTTGCATCCTTGACTGTATCTAGCTTACAGAATTAAGATCACGATACCTGGATGATGCTAGCCTAAGGAGGATATTAAAACTTGCTGATAAACTGTAAGCAAGCCAGTGTACATGTGCCTACTGTGCAAGGTGCATGTGCCTGTCAGCAAAGTCAACAATCAAATATGTCCTCCACACCAGTCAGGGTGTTGGTTGGGGTGCATGTATATGGATGGGGTAATTCCACTTATGTCCCCCCCCTCCCCCACCCCCTTGTGTAGTAAATACACAGACCATTTCCCCTCTTTTTCAAGCCAAAATTCATCAATGATACTATTCACACTGTCCAATATTACACTTTCCAACATCATTTTTAGGTTACTATTCATGTAAAAATCTCAGAGACTTTCCATCTAAATATCTTTTGTGATATTGACTACTGAAGCATAGAACATCTTGATGAGATGCTTCTGAACGTCAAATGCACCAGTGAATGTTAATTATAAGCTGCTTTTAACTTTTTTAAACCGCAATGATCAGCCTGGTCATCTCTTACTTAAAGAAATGCTTATAAATAGGCTATATTTATTTGCTGCTAATACTTTCTCAGGCAGTTTGTCTAACGCTGTGGCTAATTTTATGTTTTTTTTTACTTTATAGGTGCTTTCAAGCTTTGCTCTCACTCATGAGGAAGTTGTGGCAAGGAGACTTCTCATCTCTAAAAAATCTCCTGAAGAAGTAAGTGCCTAGTTAGTGTAGTCAGAGTTGTGTGTCAGTCATGTGTAGTAACCTCAGTGATATCCCTAGCTAGATGTTTAATCATAACCGTTACTATTTCCGAAAATGAGATTGGTGCAGAAGCTGCTTTATTTTCCACTAATTAGTTTGTACTGCTATAATCAGGCAGTGTAAGCGGACAGTTAGCTGTTATTGGACACCTGTAATCAGACATTTGAAGCAGTCAATTATACTAGGTCCTCTCAGCTAAATCCACCAATCACAGATTTGATCACAATAACCATAGCAACAACCCCTTATCTTTATTGTCTCTCCCGGAGATGTTTGTCCTAAATGTTTTTCTCTTTTGGAAATTGTAATGGTTATGATTAATTGTAAACAGGACCTCCTGTCTTCCAAACCTGTCTGTAATCGTACTTGTGATTAACAAATCGGACTATAGCTTAGCGGTTGTCTGATTTTGTTAATCACTCGTATGATTAAAGACCGAATTGGACCCCACTCGGTCCAATCTATTATCATTATTTATTGACCATTTGCAGGCAGGTAGTCCTTCCAGAAATTTGAATGCTCCAACTGGTGGTTCAAAGGACAGGCCAGCCAGTGTTCGCAGTGGGTAAGTTCATCAGATACATGTAGATTATTGAGGAATTTATCAAAACTATAACAAGATTCTCGAACGTGATTGGTTATCACCAACCCGATTTGAGCACTTATAGGACAGTGTACGCGTTATGCTTGTAATTGGACAGGGTAATGGGACAGTTGATACGTCATGCTTGTGTAAGTAGACAAGACGCGTCTCTTGGACGCGCTGTTGTCGCGCATTTCGCCGAGTTAACTTTCTTTTTGTTTTGTTTTTTTTGTTAATCACTCGTTTGATTTCAGACCGAATCGAATTCCTTTCTTTCTTATTACCATTATTAATCACAGATCTGAAGGCTGTTACTCAATTTGAGGATAAGACGTGGTGGTTTATTGATTTAATTAGTGTGCAGACTGTAATAAGCTTTGATTGACAGTTACACCCTTTTACTCTCACTGACATGTATTGTCTCTCAAATATTGGTACACTGTCAAGCGACTGTTTATTGATAGTGAGAGCCACAAAAAATTAACTGAAGGAGTTGTTTGATTTGACACTAAAATCTTGGAGCTAAGGTCTACAAGAAATATGTGGAGACAGTGAGGATTTAACTACTTATTCGTCGTCTTCCTTCAGTACACATATCTCCAAGGAAGACAAAAAGAGCCGAGAGAAAAGGGACGCTCAGAAGAAGAAGGTGAGGTTTAAATTTTGTGCAAAGCTGTAGATCGACGGAAGGGCTTCAATTTAGGTTCTTGTGTTTTATTTGACTTTTCTAAGTACTTTGCAAATAGTTAATACAGGCCTTGAGTGAGGTAACAACTGAGTTTTGCTCGTGACCTGTGAAAACGATGTTGTGTGAAACAAGGTCAATTAAGAAACTCAAAACAACATGAACGTCGATTTTTAGGAATACGGAGAATCATTTACCTCCGCTTTCTTTAATATCCCGCTAACCTACTAATCTAAATTTCCATGTCGGTTCACAATAACTCCCCTACATCATCAATGCCGTTCAAATTTTCTCTTCTAGCCTTCTCGTCAGTCCTCACGACTTGCGGTAACATTTGCAACAGCATCAACAAAGCTTACTGTTAGTAATCGCAACATAATCTGCCTATCTCGTGTAGTACGCACGCAGTGTCCCTCATTTTTGTCCAAAAGAGAATAGTAGTCGCCCGACTGAATGTCGGAACAGCAGACATTCTTGGAGGTTAAATAATAGTATCCTCTCCAGGGGGACTGACAATGATTCAAAGTTTCTTTTTCTGCACTGGATATACAATAAGGCATGTATGCACACTCATCACTTCAGAATCTATGAACATTTTATTTTTTATTATCATTTTCTGTGTTGTTATTTAAGTTAAAAAAGAAACAAATAACTGATTATTTTAAGACTAGATGTAAACATTAACCCAGAAAGGAGAACCGTCGTCATTCCTACGAAATCTCGCGAGCGTAAAGAAAATATCTGTGCACCTATGAATTATCGAGTATTTTCATGCCATCTCATTCCAGTCTCGCTTACGAGATCTCCAAAGGTACCGATATTGTAATTAGTTAATCGATTATCTGGTTCATTGAGAAGCTGGCACTAAGGTAAAAGGTCAACCGTGGGTTGATCATTTAGCAATGAGATTACGAGTTCGAGATTTTTGTCGCGTGATAGGTGATGATGGAGAGGTCTTAATCTTAATATGTCCTCGCCCAGACAAGGAAGTGGCGATATCTGGAAGAAAAGTTCAACGATCGCACCAATGACACTTAAAACTAGTCTTTTAACAATTTTTATTTATACGTCACAATCTTTCATTGAAGTAATTTGCTACGGTGAGAAGAAAATAAAACTTGATCATAAGAACTACACAGATTATTACTTCGATAAAGTAGCAGGCATATAAATGGACAAAGTAAAGGAAAAAAGATGGAAAAGATTGACATGGAGTTATAATTCTTTTAAGATGCCACACAGCCAGTCAATTAGCTCCGTTTACGTCTTTTCTCGTCAAATGTAACATCTAAAGTATTCAATATGCTGTTTGTTTTGCAGGATACCAAAAAACAAGAAACGGAAAAGGCGAAGAAAAGTAAGTAGAACTGGGAACTAATGTTTCTAAGCGTGTTCTTAGGCTCCCGCCGAAAGTAAAAAAGGAAACAAAAGGAAAAAAAGACATTAAACAAAAAAATTAAAAATCACTTTTGTGATTTTCACTTAGTAGCCTCTACTGAAACCGTCAACAAGGGTGTTGGTAAAGGGAAAAAAGTTAACACAACCAAAGGCGATAAGAAAGTGCAGCAACCTGAACAAGAGGTAAGTATTTTGCAGTTGTTTCTCCATGTGCCTCCCAGCAATATATTCTGTTGAATCAAGATAGGATGACATCATCATCTCTTGGTTGATTAGAATGAATTGGAATGGTTATATTTTTTTCACTTGCAGCAACCGGAAGTTGTAGAGTTCCCTAATCCACTCCTGGAAAACCCCATCAAGGAAGAGAGTGGTGAAATTATTATCCCTGGAAACAGAGCTCTTATTAACTTGAACTTATCGCGTAAGTTTTTCTACTCATACGCGATTAAAGAAAATTCTGACAGAAAGTGGTTTGCCATGTTGAGGATATCCTCCATGTTCTTTTCTTGGTCATTTACTATTGATTTATCTTTATTCCACATTCCAGGGAATAAATGCGGTGAAATCGGAGTGGAGGCTTTTCTTATTTCTGTACAAAGACAAGCAGAAGTGACGTCCTCAGTTGGAAAACCAACAGGACTTATGAGGCTATCACTCAGTGTGAGTAACACAGCATTGTTTAGCTTATGACACGAGTTTCGACAGTATGTGATATTATTCAGAACTTGGAGCAAAGGCGTGAAATTTATCTTAACTTCGGAAAACTGGTACGAGACGTGGTGGCCTCATGGTGAGACTCAGGTTCGAGAGGTCTGGGTTCTAGACTTCTGGCTGGGTAGCCTTGCAATGTACTAGCATCCCATTCGGGGGGGTTGTAATACCTTTAGTCGCCAGGACAAACTCCGGTTTGGTGGGCTACTTGACTCGTGTACAGAAAAAACTTACAACTGCAGAACTTCAAAGCAGGGGATACGCAATAACTTGTTTTTCATTCAGTCAACTTTTAAAACCGTGCAGTTTGTAGCAGCTACATGAATGGATTTTCATGGAAAACGGAAGAAAGAAAATACAAGTACTCGCCACACTTTTAGTTCTCAGTTGATCTTTAACCTGTACTCTTTCCATTCGTTTACTAACCCTCAGCCATGTCTCATTTTACAGAGAAACCTTTTCCCTCCAGAAAACGGTTCTTATCAAAGGTTGATGGAATTAATGCAGACTCGCGATCCATTTTACAAGCCTCCTCAGCCGAGCCCTGTGGATGAAACTGGCACTTCCACAAAGGTAGGTAAAACTTGCTTGCAGAGTTAAGTGTAAAAGGTCAAAACCTCTGCTCATTTGATTGAAACACTAAGCGAAATTATAATACACGAATGTCGAAAAAGAAGGGTGGGCGCGTCGAATTGTAGTGGACAAGTCGGCCCTTACAGGTAGCTTAAAAGATGTCCATGATTGCAACTTGCATGTCAACACTGAGTGGATATTGGCCCACCCAAAATTCCTTCGACATGTTTAAAGCCCAGGGTTTGAAAAACAAACAAACCAACAAGCAAACAAGAATTTATATCCGTGTCATTAGAAGTGCTTAGCGGACCATTCTGTTTACTTTGCCAGGACGAGCCGTGACGAGAAAAGAAGAAAGTGTTAAGACCAAAAGACATTCAGTTCTTCAGCTAAGATCAATTTAATTAAGAGGCCAATTTTGTTTAGGACACTTGCCTCACCGATAGACTAAGCCAAGTAAGAATTTATGGCGTGCTTCATTGAATGTGTTTTGAATCAACTTTTTTTTTCCAACGATCATCGCATGCCCTTTCCATTGCTCTTGAATAAAGTCATTGTATTTTACTGTAAATAAAATATTCGTTAAACTAGTTTGAAGAATTTTTTTGCCCGGCCCCTCGAGCTTATCTTTGCTAAAAACTATGATCGTTAGCGATTCAGACCTATACGGAAAGACCTGTGATGGGTAAAACCAGCTCTTAGTACGTGTAGCTCAATTTTTTTTCTAACGCAAAGATGGTACGAGTACGTGAAGCTGAGGGAGACACGCATGTTTAATAGACACAGAGTGTTACAACTGACACAGTTATAACGCTTATGTAAATGCCTACTCATCTGTCGAAATTGGCTGGGGAAAGTATTTATTGGAAAAAATACCAGTACAGAAGCATTACAACAACAAACCTATTTAGTTTTTACGCGGTTAAAAAGCCTACCTCATTGGCTGTGGTCTGTGCAGCTTCAAGGGTGTAGCTGCCATCAGTCTGTGTATGGTTCCGTACTCGGAAAACCGATTCATCACATCTTGCTGCAAAATGTTGATGTTTACGTAACTTGCTTCTCTCAGTTTTCACCTACTGAAGTACTTAGGTAAATCGCTCTCACAAAGGGATAACGCCCGAAACGTCAGCCTTAAAATTCTTTACGGTGGCTAATTTACGCGGTTGATAACACTAAATTACCCTAACATAGCAGTAAATGCGTTGAGCATCTTATCAATACTGCAAGTTGCGTTGCTATGACGACACAAGATTTTGATTGTTTTGTTATCTTCCTACGTCACCAGGTGGCGCGAAGCCTGGACTCAAAAAGGTAATTTTAATCAAACGTTAACTCATCTTCGGTGAGCTATGCTAACATCGCTCTTTTAAAAAACCGTTTTTTTTTCAGACTGGTTTCTTCCCCTTTATGGACTGCGAGACCCATGCTTCATCACTATTAAGTGTAAAATATCCGTTAACGGAAACAAAAATTGATAAGTTTCGAATCTGCGTCAAAAGAGCACGCGACATGTTGCGCGCGCTGAGCACCTGTGTGTTTGAACACGAGTTCTGGGGTCTGGGTCGAGGCTGATTAAAGTTGAAAAGTCAAGAGAAGAAAAAAACCTCTTATTGAAACTCTTGTTTTTACAACGTACCATTTCCAAAAAGGAAAGAAAAATATCTTGGTGGCAAAACAGGACAAGGCGCATTTTAGCGTTCAACGTCTGGTCACAGTATTCATGCGATTTTCAGACTAATTTCACCCGCAATTTTCTAATGTATGTGAGAGGCTGCTGAAAAGCAGTTCGGAAAGCTTGTGGAAATGTAATTCCTTTCACACAGTGTTTTCACCTGCTTTTAAATTAGTTGTTGAAGCTAACATGTGAAAAACTCATAGCTCTACTACACGCGCTGGAGAGCCTGGGCGGCGATTTGTAACCCAGTTTGACGAACCTAAAAAAAAAGAGTCGAACTATGAAAGGAAGCCGTTCGCTTTTGTTAGTTGTATATATATATATATATATATATATATATATATATATATGCTTATTTATCTTAATTCCTTGTTTGATTCCATACTAATAGAATGTAGTCTACTTGGGAGAAATATTTGAATACAAGCAAATTCCACAACAAAGAAAAACGACGCACAAATGGCCTTTTTAGAAGACCAACACACTTTTCATGTTCTTGCAATAGAAGCGGGGTACAATTTTAAGAAACACATCACGTCTGAGATGGGTGCATGTTATCGATCCAACACAAAAACAAAATCACTATTAAAATGGTGAGTAAAAAAAAGCAATTTATTTAATAGTACACTTTTATTGAGGAATCAATGTATACTCCAACGTCATAATGCAGTTTAGATTTGCCCTTCGCATTAATTTATTCGGTGTCAACATCATTTAGTTCCACTTGACAACTTATTTTTCGTAAGTAAAAAAGTCTTAACATTGAAATATATTACGCCTTCCGGTAACACTCGGATATAAGTTATCAACTTATGATCCCTTTAGCAAAATCTTAGCCTACAACTTTGCAGCTTTGGTTTCACTCAACCATATATCCGAGGAGCAGTCTCCCCCCGGATAACGAACTTCATGAGCGAGAGCTGGACCGTAGGGTTCTTCTCCAAAATCCACACAGAAATCAGGATTCAACTTAAGACCACCATTCACTGTGTCAACGTCTACTTGCAGTAACATGGAACCTTTCCTGAGAAAGAAATCGGAAAACAACTAAATAAATGAATAACTAAATAAAATCATACAACAAGCAACAAATTTTAGCAACAGAAAGCCAGCGAAGGAACAAACTAACAAACCACGCAATGAAATCAAAGGAATGGAGTTTTTATAGCCCACAGATGATATTTTCAGAGTTTACCTCACTTCTTTTTTCGTTCAGTTCCAACTTCTTACCTAGCCTCCATCGTTTTGATCAATTCGTTGTTGTAGTTTTTTTCCTTTCTACTACCGGTGAACAAGAGAGTTTCTTTCCCCGAGGATGAGCCCATTGTCATTGCTATGTAAAGCCGATATAGTTCAAGAGATTGGCAGTTGCCTCAACCGAATAGTTGGTTTATCATTTGACGTTAACGTGAAACAACGTGGCGATGTCTTCTTTTATGTTTTTAATTGTCACGAGAGAATATTTCAATAATTCTTACTTGGCCAGGTCAGGGTAGAACTGATTGTCCCATACACTGTATAGTGATGTAGTAACGTACAGTCGTTTTCCATCCAAACTCAACTGAATCATCTGCGGTCCTCCTTGTACTCGTTTTCCATTCACGTAACACGGCTCAGGTTGTCCACTCAATTCAGAATCCTCTATCACCTTCACTGGACCGTCTTTAACAATACTTCCACCAATAAACAGCTAACAAAGAACATTTTCAGATAAACTTTTAATATTCCGTCCATCCAATTTTGCCCCATTGTGAGGCCTCAGAGGTGGTGATTTGACTTAAAGACGTGCCGATATTCTTAACTAACTGTACGAAAGACCCTTAGTTGAAGCCAATAACTTTTAAAATTCATCATTAGGAAAAATATTAACCACAACAAGAAAGAACAAGGTAACAAAAGTACTAAACTACGAGCAGGCCCACTTTGGGGACCTTTCGTAAACCACGACGGTGACGGCTACGAGGACTTGGCAAAACAAAAGACCTAATAAACAGAACAATAGCTTAGCACGTGCGATTTAGAACTGTGTACATTTCTTAGCAGTCCTCTGCAAAATAAAAACGTGAAATCATCAAACCTTGCGTGGTCCGAGAAAGGAAACCCGGAGAGAAAATTAGTTAAGTTTCCATTTGGAACTCAAAGCCGCTCTCATACAAACCTTCATACCATGACAATTAAAAGACAGCCAATTAGAAAACAGAAAAGCCGTTTTATATTCAACGATATCACACGGAGGAGACATGAAAGTGTTGATCAGTGTGCACGCACATACCTGCCCGACAAGCTTTGGGTGCTCAGGATTTGTGATGTCATACTGTCTGATGTCTCCATGTAGCCAATTGCTAAAATACAGGAACTTGTCATCCAACGAAAGAAGGATATCAGTTATCAAACCTAAGTAAAAAGGATACCATCGTTACCTTAAACTACCAGAGGTGGTAAACATGCCACCTAGCCTTACAAAACACAAAATCATCCTACAAATGCGATGATACTCTACAAGGTCACGAGAAAGAAAGCATCATTTTGAATATAACTTAATTCTCATAATTGATCTGTAAAGAAATGTTTAGCAACTGGGGAAGGGAAAATTTTGCCGCGAAGTAGCACAGCTACCTTACGGACTATATTGACATCAATTTTCAGCAGTTTTTAAAATTTTAATCAACTAAAATGTTGTAAGGAGTCAATCATCTGTTCTGTTGTAGCAAAAATTGCGCGACAGCCCAAAGCACAAAAAGAGACTGGGTACGAGAGAAAATCCTGACCTGGCATTTCCGCTAGAGCCCATCCCTGAACTTTCTTGTTTGGCACTTTAACCACCGTTTCAGCGCTCCAAGTGTCATTCTAAAAGGCAACAACGATGAGATGTCAATGGAGGGAATTCTCTTTGAAAACGGGTTTGCTTCTTTGAACAAGCTGACCACATACCTCCTGTACCGATTACTTCGTTAGCAAGAATAAAATATAATTAAAACAACTTTTTAAAACATATTTTTCGGAACCTTACCTGATTTTTGAAAAACCTGACGATGGTACTGCTCAAAGCGCATCCCGTAAACCCCTGGGGCTGTCGAGGATCGTGCAGGAATCTTATCTCCAGGGGAATGGTACCCATTCCCAGGTCTATCGTCTGTTGAATGGTCCGTGAAGTCCAGTCCCACACGTGCAAGTGTGATCCATATTTGCCTGAGACATTCGAAATTAAAGTTATATCCCAGAGTTACTAATCAACGATGAGCACAAGTTAATAATACAGAGATTTTGAGCAAGAGATTTATCTATTCCATGCACAACCAAAGGACATAGAACTATATATACCATAGAACTCGAGAACAAATTTGGTGAAATGTTTGGCCCTGTGAAAATTGCAATTGGCATTCTTCAAAATGAGTTCCAGTCAAACACGATTCACGATAAACAAAACTACATGGCATGTGGTACCTCCTTCAAGGTGGAAGTTCAGTTAAAGTTGTCTTCACACTTTCCTATTCAAATGGTGTATACGTTAAGACCCTACTTACCCGCCTGAACATCCTCCACCTTAAATCCCTTAGTGAGTGCCTTGGGCACGCCCCATTCCGTACTGATCATCACATTGTGATGGGGCTGGTACCAAAAGTCATATCCCAGAGGTGGAGGGGTCCCAGACTCCCACCGTCCTTTGACGTCAAACGTCTCGCCGTCCAGAATGACATAGCCACCTGAAAGAGAAAGACGCATACCCTACTCGTCCCAACTTTCTCCAGACAAATTAACGACTCTTATTTTCATCAAAGAGAGGAAATTATTATAGAACAAGAAAGATTTACAATTTAACGTTGCCTTATAAGATAAGAACGTTTAAGATAGAAACTGTAGTGAAAAAGAAAGTTTAGAATAAGCGATGAGAGATAATAAGCGCCTTCCGTCCAAACTTTCATTTATAATAAGCGCTTGAGTGTTAATGGCGGAATTACGGTATTCTTCAAGAGTAAAAAAAATCTTAAAGCTTCATTCAATTGAAGCTCGTAATCACCCTCGGTAAAAAACTTATTACCTTACCTTCACCCTCGCCATCAGATGTTCCAAGAGAACTGATCATAACCTCTCCGTTAGCCAAACAGTGCGTTGTGTGAAGATAACCAAGTCCAGTTTTACTGGCAACCTCTTCCGGTTGGATTATCTGTTCCAAACAACACATGTTTATAGTGTAAGGTAAAGTCTTAAAATCTAGAGGCTTATAACCACTAGTGGCCGGGTTCTGTAGCACAAGCGACTGGCAGTGCATCCCATCTCTCCAAAATGGTATGCAAGTCAAGCGCACCCCATACCATAGCATTTCTACAGGTTGCCTAAAAACTTCGCCAATAACTATCTATACTCCTGGGTGTAAACGAGCATAAACTCATATTTGTTCTCACAAGTAATCGCTCAGAGAGCGAACAAGAAAAGAGCCACGTGCGAAAAAGGGAGAAAAGTCGAATGCGAACACAAGAGGGCAAAAGAGAGCAAAAGGAACCGCTGGGCACCAAACCTAGAGACTCAGCCATAGTTGACAACGGGACCTGTTCCCCCAGAGTGCAGCGCACTCATCACTACACTACTTCACCATGCCTTCAAAAAAAAAAAAAAAAAAGAAAAAAGGCGAGACAAGAAAAATTTTAAGATCTGCAGAGGTCGGGAATAAGATCCCTCTCAGCATAACGTCTCAGAATCTTTAAAAATCTCCACCTTAAAAAAATTAGTATCGTTCCGTATAGGAATCTTGGCCATTACTTTAAGAGAAAATAGAGAAATATAAAATAGGACGGCGTTGTTGTTTTTCCTACCTTGTGTATCTGTGGCGCTCTTGGATTACCTCCCACATCAAAGATGTAGACCCGACCAGAAATTAACGAAGGCATGATGAGGCGGTTTCTCTTCTTGTTTGGGTCACCAAAACAACTAGAAAATGAAAGCATACTTAAGACACAACTAAAAAAAGCTGCGCGGTCATCAACTACACCGAAAAATAATTTGAAAAGCACATCTTAAATCCCACAATGACAACATTTCTTCTAATTTCAAGGGTCTTTATTCTTTTCTCCCAAACGGAGCTGACTACTGCGTTTCCAAAAAGTTTCTCAATGAAGAACCGCCACCTGTGATTTTTTTTTTCTGAGATTATGTTAGTTGTGGCTTACGGAGAAGGAATCGACGCCATGACTTATCTTTAATGATCCTGGTGATAACAGTAATACTTCTTATAACGATAATAATAATAATAATTATGATAGCAAACATTTTATCATCATCTACATCGATCGATTAATTCCTATCAAGTAAAGTAAATTTTTCATCACTACTGTGGTCATAAATTTGTTTTACGGGTTGATTTCCGCGGACTAGGGATCGCAGACGGATTTTCTCAGAGATTTACCAAGTAGCAGGCACTCGATTAGCCAGGCGCGTCTTAGACTGGCACAAGTGAACGAGAAGACATGCGCACATCTTCAATTCTCCTTTTCCTTTCTCCAACGTTACGGGGCGAGGGGCTGTGTTCATGAGGTTTGTTGGGAACAAATCGTTTACCAAGGAGAGCTGGAATCGCCGCGCACGCACCTGCTTGATACGCATGTTATTTTAAAAGTTCCATACTACAGTAAGACTAACCTACTACAAGCATTCCATCCACTGTGATGTAATTCGTCTCCTTTGTAAGGTACTGGCAAACGATGAATGACCTGCGAAAATCACAGCGACGAAATGTTTTTAAAGTTCACAGTTCCCTATCAGCGGTAAAGCGGCAGTTCATACTCGTTGCGAGTTTTCCCAGGGCTCGCAATACCAAGAAACTATAATGTCGTTCATAAAAATTATAGGAAATCAAAATGATACTCTTCAGTATTTTCTAGGAATCATGTGATACAATCCAGTCTCGCATTGAGGACACCCTGCTACTCCCAGGGACATGAGCGAAAGTTTTCGTTGGGGAAGGGTGGGGTGTGGCGTAGGGTAGGGTGGGGCTAGGGTGGTGTGGGGGCAAGGTGAAGTAAAGGGCTTCATATCGGCTGCCTTATGATATTGTTGGAGCATGCCTGGATGTACTGCTAAGAAGAAAATCTAACTTTATTTAACTTAAGGGAGGGGGTTTACATTAATCCAAAGACTCCTCGACCCCCTCATTTTCAGTCCTCGGTCGTTCAAGAAGACATAAGTCAGGCTATTTCTTGTCAAAAATATATTCTTTTTTTAAATACCCGAATTCCCCTTTTGGTACTGAAATGCACTTTTCACAACCTCTAGGTCCAGAGTCTGGAATAACTCATTATCCATGGCTTATATATGGTGTTACCTTTGAATAAGTTGCCGAGCGGGGATCAACATCAACAGTGGCAAGGTAGTCCGGTTTGTCCACTCCAGTATTTGTGAGGATACATGGCAGGTAGACAATTGTCTCCTTTGGACCCTTCATGGCATCCAGGGGTGTAGCATACCCAGGCCCACACCCACAGTGTCCTCCTGCTGCTGAGATAAAAGGTAGTGAACGCATTTAAAAAAAAGTTGAATTGAATTTTTTAAAACTTCATAGTTCATTATATTTGTACCTCTGTAGTCGTGAAAGCAATCATACATAGATTCAATCTTAGGCAGTGGCCTTTCCTTACAAAAAGAGAGATTTCTACATCACGTGAAACCCTCGCAATTGCACATCAATCTACGCACGTCACGCTCGCTTCTCGTGACACCTTTTTAATTGTTTTTTTGGTTTCATTTTTTGTTTCGTTGCTTTTACTCTAATTTTTTTCTTACGGTTCTGCATAAGAAAGCAAATACGTAATAATCGACGTTTGAACGGGAATAAAGCTGTCGGCGTTTTGTTGTCCAAATCTCTTTTCATTCCAAACACAGAAGTTAAAACACAGAAGGATTTACACAGAAGTAAGGGGCCGACTGCGTTGATGAACTTCAGAGTAATTTGGGTTATTCGATTTTCAACTCGCAGTATTCAAGTAGATCCTCGTCTTGCAAGGGAATCACACGATATAGTTAAAAAAAACACACACACAGAGTACATCAGTTGGTCTGCGACCTAAATCCTCTCTTAAGACTCGGGTATTTTTCTTTGTATTTCGCTAATAAGAAATATTTCATAATTTTCAATCCACGAGTCTAACCAGGTCCGATAACTGTCCGCTGTTCAAGGAGCTCGTGGACTCGAAGTTTTTTTTGGCACTAAAAGGCACACAGTATCGCCACGTCTTCGCCCGCTGCGACACAGCAGGATCAGAACAGGAATAATTGCGAGTGATATTTCATCAGTTACGCCAAATTTTCGTCCTTGTTAAGGCCCATCATAACTTCATGGTCACGCAACGAACTAGCCACATTGCGTGACAATTATAGAAACGACTGCGCGAAATTCTAAATCAACATCGCACAGAGCAATAACATCTTTAAACGCAATATTTGAAATACAACTTGATGCTCAAAACATAGAATTAACTGTTCCGTAGTATAATTACTTTTTTCCCACTAAGTTTCAACGAAGAAAAGTATCCACAAACCCACGAGGACACTAGTAACAAAGACAACTGAATCTTACAATGTGGTTTATCCAAGCGAAGGTTGACCGAGAAATTAGTTCCGTTCAAGAGAGCTCTTCCCTCTAAAACTGTGCATCCCGTCTCAGCTAAGTTTACGTTCTAGCCAGTTGATGGTTGAACTCAAAACCAATACGAGTAAATATTAAGTCACTTCAATTCCTGTTGTTGCGCATTAAATAGAAAGTTCTTAACTGCTTGCATAACACATGCATAAACCGCACTACTATTTCGGTCGATTGAAATACTTATCAGAATTGTTTAAGACCTGAAAGAGCTAATCTACACTTACCTACTGCTGTCATTTTGACGGACCAAACTTCGCTGCATTAATGGAGAGAATGTTCAAGAAGTAAAGATTAAGTGTTTGCGTAATGATTCAGCTTATTTAAAGCCAAGTTAGCTATTGGTTCCCCCACTGGTTGTCACGTTAACACCAGCCGTCACTCAACCTGGATTAGTAAATATAGACACTCCGCAAAAGCGTGCTACAGCTGGTCAGGACATGGCTTCAAGATTGAGCTAAGGACCAGGATCTCTTTACCTCTTCTCCAATGCCAGCAAGGATGTAAGGCTGACTAGTAACGATTTGACTGATTACTGACGGCCTCTCTTGTTTGGTTGTCTTCTTTTGTTACGCATATCGCGAAAACAACCTCTTTAACCCGCATCCTTGATTTCTCGTGTTGTAAGACATTCATGTACCTATTAAAACCACAATCAGTTTGATTTTTTACAGTTTTGATCAAGTTTGACACTTTTCAAGACTTTAATTTCATACAACTTTGGAGGACAATTTACAAAAAACTACAACTCAGCATACCACAGCCATGTATATTAACTCTATTTTATCATCGTAAACATCCTGTCAGAACAGCAAAGGGGAATGGATTTCATCTGCTTGCTGGGAAGCGTGGAAGGCGTTTAAGAACATTTGTAGACGTGTTTTCAGCGGCAAAATTTGAAATTGCATGTGACCATTTCTTTCAACAATTCAAACATTACAACTAGTTACGTCGATTCCACCGCAAGAAATAACCTGTGCCACCCAAGCTTCGACTCGAATGTGAAGTACGAATCAAGTAACATAACTGCTTCATCTTTGCGCCAATATCACGCTGGTATTTTGATTTCCCGATCCCGACCAATAATACAACCCTCGCCCGCTCTGTTTCATTAACTTTTCGTCGTTCTTATCGAGGCTAATTAAAATATCCTTGTTATCATTCTACAAATTTAAACTTAACGGAAAAAATCGGCACGGTGTTAAGTCATAAATTCCGAATAGGTGATATTTTTTCAGAAATATTTCGTTATTGAACGAATAAGTCTCACAGCGTAGACTTTTTGTTTCCAGAAGAGAGGCCCTAAGACCAAGGTTGCGTAACTATGTGTCTGGAACCAGCAGAAAACTTACTGTAAGTTGAGCTTTTATTTGACTGATCAGTATTTAATTCTATGTACATCAATGGCTATACTCTACGATTGTCAGAAAAAATGCCTTTACACTGAGTTCTGAAAGGCCTTCCTAGGTCACCATTATCACCAAAACACGGCTCTCGCTAAATTGCAAATTCAACAGCCAAGGTTGTCTAAGTATTCCATTACATATCGAGATAAATCAAGTGAAATACACTCAATCGATCTTTAATAGTCAAGCAACTGATAGCTAATATAATGAGAGCAGAAAAAAGCCTAGGGGAAAGATCGTTGCTATAGGAGTCTTCGATGGTATGCAGTGCAAAAGCAGTGTCTGGGTGATGATGTTATTAACTAGCGGCGATTGCTATTCTAAGTAGTAACCGGTAATATTCATAAAAATATCATCTAAAATGTTTAGTTGTCTAGTGAAATGTATAATGGATAAATTAGTAAACGCCTATTTCTTCTGAGGAATACCAAGAATAAAACACATCTCATGGCGCGATGAAAAAGCTGTTAAAATAGTTCAGTGTAGGAGAAGGAACGAGGAAAACATCACAAGGTTGTCCTGAACTTGGAACGCCGCACATAAGACATGTAACCTGGACGCTAACCTCTGGCCTCATCAGAAGAGAGTAGCTTACGTCACACTAAGATGGAAAGTTGGACGATACGTGATTCTTTTCTTATTTACAACTTTAAAGCAGAATTCTTCTGTAAGACTTCATGAATCGAACTTGAGGATAGCAATAAGACATATGTATATCTAATTATCAAATCAGCTTTAAGTACAAAAAGCAAGAATTGGCTCTGAAGTGAGAAGAATATCTGATCGTGGTGAAAACTTCGGCCCTAGCATGGCAATCTTCAATTGGTTATCAAGTTAAGCTTTAAACGTAACATAAGCTACTTATTGACAAGGTTCAACGCTTCTTTTGGGTTTTTCTAGCGTTATATACGCCATGGAGCCACGCGTCGGGAAAAGAGAAGGAAAAAAAAAAACAAAACAAAACAAGGAAAAAACTGTCAATCAAGTAGACTCAGTTTAAGCCGCGTAGGAAAGAGAGCAGTGATAAATGGTTAGTACGGACGAGGTCGCTTCTTGTAGATTTTCGTTTTTCTCTCTCTTGCTCTAAACTTATTTTGCTGCATTTAGTACTTAATCTGTAAATTACATAAAACTCTGATAGCTTTGTTCCATTAAAAACTTTTTTCCATGTTTACTCTTGTCACGCATTTAAGGAGGGTGGATCTCCATGGTCCGTTGGTTCATAGCCGTTCAGTGGTCCACATGGCATTCCTCGACCTTCGCCGTTAAAAGCCCCTGTTAGAGCGAAAAAGTAAAACATCAGTTGTTACTACCTAACGCATCAGATATTACCCCTAAACTGAAAAGGTTGAAGAATGCTTTTGACTTCCTAATATCTCAATACCCTTGAAACTGCTGCAGATCCCTTTAAATCTTACATTCACAATCTCAAAAGTAAAATAAAGATAAGGGAGGAACTGTGTAAAAGAGAATATATTTTCATAAAAAAACTACTTCACTTAAGACGACGAACTATAGAGTTTGTTGCTAAATCGAACAGGTTTGCGACTTGACTGAACCCCCACCCACCTCTTGAAGATCTTCTTCCTCGCCTGCCTCTCCCACGCCCTGCTGCTGCCCCTGAGGTGTCAAAAGGTTTGTCCACTCCCGGTACAGCTCTTTTCTCCGGGGCTTCCTCTTCAACTTTCTCCTCTTCGCGCCTTTTGAGACAAGCTGCTTTGGGGTTGAGATTTCGTTCTAGGAAAATCCGGAAATAAAAGTTTTAGAAGGTGAAATTGCCAGCCGGTAGAGATAACAGTTCCCTGCTGCTTCAATGGCTTGGATCCAAAGGGCTAAGTCTGATTCCATAATTAATTGACTCAAAAGTTAGGGAAAAACTCATCCTCACAATCCACAAGCCTAACATCTTACTCCTTTCCAGAATTAAAAAACACAATAAGAAATGACGGAAAAATGTGAAATAAAAACAGTCACTATCAGTTCTGAAACAATACCACGATCTTATTCCAAGCTTACCTCGAACTTGTGATTCTAAACTTGTGATGACTGATACCGCTTGGTGAAGGATTACAAGCTGTGGGACAAAGCAACCATATGTGGGTGAGTAAATAAAATTCGATCATAACGATACACAATCACAGTCACCAGGGCACGTGGATCACTTTTTCACATTTTGAAGAGGGATATAATTACAAGCCGAGTTGTTTGTGAAGGCATTTGCAAATTCACACTGCATACATGTTATTCGTTTTTATCACTCAAGGCCTTAAAGAGATCTATATAACAAACAAAGAAGCTTCTTTAACAGCAGTAGTATCAGTGTTGGAGATCAAGGGCATCTTGGAGAGTGACATGCAACTTTAAACAACATTGTAAACATGGTCACTGAATAAAAACTGAACAGGAAATTTCAAATGGAGATGACAGAAGGAGTCAACCTTTGGAAGTGACAAAACTTGTCTTTTTTTTTACCTTGGTCTGGGGTTTGTCGCTCTCTAAATGCAATTGACACATTCTGCCCAATTCTTTGAAGGCACCGTTGATGTCTCGAACCCTCATCCTGTAATAAAGAGTTATGTGGGTAGTAAGCTTAGCATCTCACCTTAGTCTGTTTAGTATTAGAGTTGGATTTGTCACCCTGTAAATGCATCATACACATTCTTCCCAATTCTTTGAAGGCTCCGTTTATGTCTCGAACTCTCAACCTGTTAAGGCAAGGTGCAGAGCACAAAATTGGACTGTTGAATATCAAATCGATCTGGGATCATTTTTTTTTTCTGTCTCTTGCAGGGATCCTAGAGATTCACACTGGTTTGAGCCTTTTACGATCGACACTTGTTTGCGGTTATTAAAAATGTCGCCGCCGGATGAAAAACTCTCAGGTCACAAAGATGTGCAGATTCCGGGAACTTAGCAGCTAGGTAGTTCATGAAAGTTGACTTTTTCTCTCTATACATAGTATGATTCAGTGCAGAGCCTGTTTATTATTTTTATATCACTCAGTGACTGAGAAAATGTTACTTAGGGCCTCGACGCACTAGGAAAATTTTTGCTTAGTTTGCGAAAGAACTGTCTTCAGTTCCGTGAGACAAGTGCGCACGACAATTTTTGGTCCGACCAAATTCCTTCAAGCTTCAGGCATGGGTCGCACTTGATAAATTTTCAACCTTTCTGAGAAAAAAGACCATAAAAATCAGCCTGAAAACTGTTGCCTTCCAACCTCTTGAGGACCTGCTGTGTCGGGGATTGCAGACATTCCGAGTAAACATGCTCTTCTTCAGATAATTTAATGATATCGAAATTTCAGTCTGAAATGGTTTTTAGTAACAGAAACCCGAAAAATGGAGTTATCATACACCCGGCCCAACAATTTCCTGTACTTTAGGTCTAATAAAATAATAACAATTTTCTAAACTGAACAACACGTGGCTAAATGAACCTTTGCAAGGTCACCACACCAATATACAGTATTATGTACGTAGCAATTTCAGTTTTTGGTAACACAGACACGAGTCCAGTCATTCAGATAACAGGTGGTTATAGATACTCGGGTATCAGACTCTACTGTGCCGCTGTTTCCTCCTGCATGTACTTACACTAATTCATGATCATACCTTTCCCTGGCATTATTCGCATATCTTCGTTCTTGTTCCCTGACGACTCTGACTCGGCCGTTGTCATCAACACCACCATCTTCTGTCAATTTATCATCGTCATCATCGTCATCCACAATCAAATCCCTTTTGTCTCTGTCCTCTGCCAAGTCCCCGTTACTTTTCAAATCTTGCTTCGATGACGAGTCTTTACTGCTCTTTGCACTTTCGCCTCCTGTGTCCATTTTAGAACCATCTGCCAAGGCAGAAAGACAATTAACTCTATAATTACCGGCGATTTACCACAATTTTCCCTTACATCCTCAAACTACACAGAGATTACAAC